GGCCAGGACACTAGAAGCCCTCCCACTGTTGCCCCCCCCAAAGCACCAAGAATACAGAGCATCCCTTGCCCCAGACTAAGAGCTCCTATCTATACCTTGTGGCTAATAGCCACTGATGGACCTCGGCTCCATATATTTATCCAATTCCCTCTTGAAGCTGTCCATGCTTGTAGCCACTACTACCTCCTTTGCCAGTGTATTCCATCTGTTAATCACGCTTTGGGTGAAGAAGTACTTCCTTTTATCCGCTGTCACCCAACTGCTCAGCAATTTCATTGAGTGCCCATGAGTTCTTGTGAGAAAGGGAGAAAAGTATTTTTTCTCTACCTGCTGTATCTCTGTATGGAAGGCCAGAAGACCACTAAATCGGGATTTAGTATGGAAGACCAGAAGACCACTAAATCGGGATTTAGTATGTTATCTTTAGTATGCCACCTTAAACGTACTGATAATTGTTGTAGCATTTTACATGTTATTGTATGATTGTTTTAACTGTTTTAAATGTTTTATGTTTACCGGCCATACTGTGCCGCTTATGTGAGCCGCCCTGAGCCCGTCCATGGGGAGGGCATGATATAAATATAATTAATTAATAAATAAAATCCCATGCATAATCTTGTAAATCTCGATCATGTCACCCCTCAGTCACCGTTTCTCCAAGCTAAAGATCCCCAAGCGCTGCAACCTTTCTTCATAGGGAAAGTGTTCTAAATCTTTCTGCATGGGTTTTTTAAGTCTTGTGCAGTGCCTTATTTTGACAGTAGCTAACAATTTGAGAATGTTCACTGTGTAGCCCTCTTTGGGCGGTGAGGTTGAGGTATAAAAATAGTGTCTCGGGTCTCCCCGCACATACCTTCCCAATCTTAACAGCTGGTCCCTGAAGCCAGTGTCCTGGTGATTCCCCCCTCCTCACAGTAATTTAGTTCTGCAGATACCGTGGACTGCCAAAAAAAATACAAATAAGTGGGTTTGCGTTCAAATCAAGTCTGAATGCTCCCTAGAAGCAAAAACGACTAAGCAGGCTTATTGAACTTTGGTCCCATTCTGAGAAGACAAGACTCATTGGAAAAGACAAGAATGGTAGGAAAAGTTGGAGGTGGCAGGAAACCAGGGAGATGACCCAACAAGAGATGGATTGACTCAATACAGGAATCTGCGGCCCTCCGTTTGCAAGACCTGAGCAAGGCTGTTAATGAGAGGACGGCGTGTGCAGTCTGCGGTTAATATATAACATGCCCTGAACCCTGGCCTTCGTAGGGTCCGCCTCCAAAATCTCCAGGTATTTCCCAAATGTGAGTTGGCAAACCTACCCAAGATCCCACCTGGAGGATGACATCTCTAGTGGGGACTTCTTACACCACTCTTCTCTATTTTATCCTCACGACTGCCCTGTGAGGCAGACCAAGATGGGTAGCGGTGTTTGTCTATAGCAGGAGAAAAGAGCAAGCGGCCAGGAGCACCTGAAAGACTAAGGAAAGTTGTGGCAGGGGAGGAGCTTTCGGAGTCTCTGCTCACTTCTTCAGATGCCAAAGAAGTATCTGAAGAAGTGAGCAGCCAGTGACTGACAAAAGCGCATGCCCTGTCACAAATGTTAGTCTTTAGGATGCTACTGGACTCTGACTCTTCTCTACTACTACCCTGTGAGGTAGGCTTGACTGGGGACGTGTGACTGGCCCAAAGTCACCCAGCAAGCTGCCACGCCATGGGGGTGGGGGGCAATGTTCCCTCTTAGCTGTGGAGTCTTGTGAGCAAAAATTCTACTTTGTGAGCTACTGGCATTAAAGTTGTGAGCAAGCAATCTGGCTACTGCATAAATTAATTTGTTCTAGAGCCATCCTTCCTGAGCTGAGACAAAAATGTGTGAGCCAGAGGCTAAAAAACTATGAGCTAGCTCACACTAAACTCAGCTTAGAGGGAACACTGGTGGGGGGGTGGGGATTCCAGTCCAGGACTCCCAGACCCTGATGCGACCCACTCCACCACACTGGCATTACACAGCTTTTGCTGGAGGCTTTTGCTAGGGACCAACGCTTCCTCCACGTGTACTTCCCAGGGCTTCTGTGATTTCTGTATGGTTGAGGGGAGAGAAGAGCAAACGGACCCCATCGCTTCCCTCGGTCCAGCCTTCAGCAGGCGCTGCATTTGTTGACCTGCGAGTCACGCAGCAGGCGTCGGATTCCAGCCCCCCCCTTTCCAGTCTCAATTCCGGAAAAGAGCAGGACAGGAAGTGTACATGGTTTCCATAGCAACCCTGCTGCAGCAGCTAAGAAGGAGCCGAGAAGAGGAGGAGGAGGAGGAAGAAACGGGCTGCTCTCTGGCCAGGCATCATGCCTGCTGCTGTAACCCCGACTGGTGAGGCCAGCCTTAGTCTCTTCCGACAGATGTGGGGTCATTTAGTGTGGGGTTTGTGTGTAGGGGATACAGCCCCATAGAATGGCTTAGTGTCTTCCTTCCTAGCAAGATTCCTGTGCCTTCCATAGATTGGGTTGCTCCCTTTTATAGATCGACACAGGGGTCATTTTGTAGAAAAAGAGGTGCAGGAGCTCATTAGCACAACTCATTAGCATAATTTATTTGCATAGGCCACACCCCCTGACATCACTCAGGCTCCACTGGACTGTTTTGGATTGCTAGCTATTGAGGGGTGTGTGCAGATCTGCCCTCACAGAGGAGGGAGAGCTTGTACCTGAATAAAACTTGGTCTTAAAGGTGCCACTGGACTGTTTTGGATTGGGGGGGGGGGCTCTGCAACTTACCTGGCTGCTTCTTGCTCTGACTGAGGGCTGCTGGGAGCAGGGGGCGGGGCTTGTTGCATGTGCCCGCCCCCTGGGCTCTTTACTGCCGGAGCTCCGCTCTTGTGTGCTCCCGCAGGAAATGACCCCTGAATCGACAGACAGACAGAGATATAGAATCATAGAGCTGGAAGGGACCTCCAGGGTCATCTAGTCCAACCCCCTGCACTCTGCAGGAAATTCACAAATACCTCCCCCCCCCACACACACACACCCAGTGACCCCTGTTCCATGCCCAGAAGATGATAAAAACCCTCCAGGATCTCCACCCAAACTGGCCTGGAGAAAAATTGCTTTCTGAGTGCAGAATGGCGATCAACATTTCCCTGGGCGTGTAAGAAAGGGCCACGAGAACTAAGCACTGATGCTAAACCCTTCCTGCCTTCCCCCTCGTGATCTGCCTAAGTCCACAGAATCAGCATTGCTCAGATGGCCATCGAGCCTCTGCTTGAAAACCTCCCAAGGAGGAGAGCCCCCCCCACGAGGAATTCCACCACGCTATAAAAACAATGAGATGAAAAGAAAATGCAGAAAAGAAAAGAAAATGACTACATATTACAATTATATATATAAAAAGGTGATTATTGTGTAACAAAATATAAGAAATAGGACATATTTCTCCCCAACACCCCCTTCATTACTGTGAAAGAGGTTTTTTTTGGACACTTTGTAAGATGCAATAAAACTTAGTTCTGTTGTAATACATTTATGTTCAACATTTTACTTTTCAACGGAATTGTTAATCTCACCATTACCACATACCCAGTACTGCATATTTTCACCATTTTTGCAAACGCTGTTACTTTTGGCAAATAGGACGTACTATAATAAAAATACAGAGGGGAGAGAGGGTTGGCCCCTTTCTCTTAAGATCCTGCCACAACTCTGACGGGAATGCTTCTAAACATATGCAGAGTATTTGCTCATGTTGGGGGGGGAGTATTTTTTAAAAAATAAATAAATTTTGAATCGAATCGTATAGACTTGAGTCAGTGCTATGCATTCACACTGGATCTTACTTTGAATTGCTACTCAGATGTTGAACAAGGAGTGGATAAGATAGACTCTTCTTACTTCCTGGGTATGGTTGCCAGCCTCCAGGAGAGGTCTGGAGATCTCCCAGAATTACAGCTGGAATCTAGATGACAGAGATCAGTCCCCATGGAGAAAATGGCTGCTTTGGAGGGTGGACTGTATGGCATTATATAAGCTGAGCTCCCTGCTGTACCCCCAGCCTTCCTTAGCCTCCACCCTTCCTTCCTACACCATCATCTCATCCATGCATTGAGAGTAGGGTTCCCAGCTCTGGGTTGGAAAATACCTGGAGACTTTGGCGGTGGATCTGGGAGAGGGCGGGGTTTGGGGAGGGGGAGGGGCCTCAGCATGGTACAATGCCATAGAGTCAATGCCATAGAGCCCACCCTTCAAAGCAGCCATTTTCTCCAGGGGAGCTGATTTCTGTCAGCTGGAGGTCAGTTGTAAAAGCAGGAGATCCCCAGGCCCCACCTGGAGGCTGGCAACCTAATCGAGACTCCTAATTTGTGCCTGTCTAGTTGGCCCTGCATGTGGAACAGGGAACATTTCTGAGAAGACTACCTTGGAGGTCCTGGCCTTGAGTCCTCTGCCTAGCAGTCTAAATGTTTCCTCCAAGACCACACCGTTTTGGGATGTATCAACAGAAGCATAGT